TAGTGTTCTGTTTAAAAATTTTATTAAAATCCATGTTGTTCTTTCCTTGTATATGTACAGATGTACCAGTAGACTTGATTACATTTATTTTGGGACCACAATAATTTGAGTGTCTGTAAATCTTATTAGCATTTTGCTTTGAGTTTGTGTCTTATTTTGCACACAAACTAATTTGTAGAGAGAGGGAGGGGGGTCTAATGCGTGTGCATTACATCATAAGGTCTGCCATGAGTCAAGTTGTGTGGTTTAGATTACCACCTTCTATGTGACAAAGAGCAGGGTCGACTGTCCAACCCGTGGGTTTTCTCCAGGTCCTTCAGTTTCCCTTCACTGCTAAAGACCCCTTACAGAAATCAATTATTGAAATAAAATTGAACCATATGTTAGCCTGAAATGACATAGTTTGTGTTTTGTGAATGTTAAATCCCATCTCACTCTCTCACTCTCCCTCTCCAAAGGACTAGTGCCTCTTGAATTTTCAATATGTATCAATTCTTACCAGCAAGTGGTTCGCAACCGAATGCTATAGCTTGCAACCAATATCTTCATATCATGTAACTGATTTTGTAACAATCCCGGCAAGTAAACTAAATTGAGTCTGGCGCCAGTAAATGTAAGGCATATTGTTAGCCAATAAGTTACACTTACTTTGTTGCAGTGCAAAACTCCAGACAATTAAGTCAGCTTGCTCAAAGGCAGGAATTAACAAAAGCAATCTGATATTTGCAGGTGGAATTGGTTGTTGAAAATAATTCTGACAGCAATTGTCTTGGTTTATTTATGATCTATTATTCCTTAGGGAATGTGAATGAAAACCCAAAACTTATTTAGATGGCAGGTACTTGCCATAGTCTAACTAAATCCACTTTTCTGTGAAACGGATTACCTTTGAAATTAAGTGTTGATATTGGTTTGGCATATTTCAGTACGGTAACCAAATGTCTGGAGACTTTATTAAAAATTCCAAATACTGGGTACTCGATATCATGTTTACGTAATTTCACATTTTTTAGTTCTACATCTAAAGAACACAGTGCCCCAAAGACATTAGTTTGGCATGTCAAACCCCAAATAACCAAGCACAAGTTGTATAAGCTTTAGGGTGAAATTGGGACTTTTTCGACTAATGGAAGCGTTTATGTGTTAAATAAACATGAGATTTGAGTTGTTATTTGTTCACACCCCAATTATAGACATTCTCTGATCCAATGTATTTGAATTAAAATTGTACTTTTCTTTGGAAAAGTTCTAGTGTTTGTGATCTGTTACATCAATTAACAGTCAGTTGTCAAAGATTTTCGTCAGAATATTTGCCAGCATGTGTAGCTAATGTTTAGAACATTGACTGATTTACCGAAACAATGAATATGATATGAAATTAGGTTTAACTTTTCTGCTTTAAAAAAGCTAAGGAGTAAGGGCATACACCATGCAGTGTGTTACGAAGGAAAGTTTGCCCAGACAGCAGGATTTTCACCTACTATTTGTTAATTTCCAACTACTCAGTATTCTTCTGAGTGTATACCAATGTATACATGGGACATCTGGCTTTCATCCAATGCAAATGGTATGACACTGTTCCTTGCCAGACCCTGCACCACGGACTAAGGGAAACAAGTTTGGGAGATCCTGAAGAACTTTCTCAGCCACATGAACAAAGAGTATGTCCTTCATAAAGATGAAAAAAAAAAAAATAATCTGATTTCCAGCAGTAAACAAGTTCACAAAATGATAGACTTTGAACTCATATTTAAATGACATGAACTATTGCTGGTACACAAAACTTACACCGGTTTTATTAACAAGAAAGGACATAATAGTACATGTTTGTATTTATCTTAGAAAAGACTAAAAGATCTAAGAAACGTAACATGTAATGAAAAATTCCGGGAATACACAAGGGTCAGTTTGTCTTTGTGACCTGTCCACACAATATGTCAATGTCAAATATCAACCACCGACCAGTAGTGGGCTACTCACAACCAAAATATTGTCATTTATTGTGTTAAATTTTAGACACTCGCATGATTCTGATGCCAGTCAACACTTCCCTATATATGTATAACATTTTTTCCTGTTATGCTGCACATTTTATTCTCCTTCTCTTGTTACAGTTTCATTACTTGAATCAGCTTTTCATGACCGTAACTTTATGAAGTTGGCTGGAAACCACAGGGTTGCTCTAGATGAGTGGAACTTGTTTATGTGATTTTGGGGTATTTTATCATAAAAATTAAGAAAAATTGACTTTTCAATTAACCATAGGAACTTTGATGCAGTCCTGCATTATGATAAGAGCAATCTAAAAGAGAAGGTAATAGTTATAAGTTCAAATCAATTGAGCATAGCGGAAATATTGAAATCTAAGGAAGTTAACGTGAAGTCTGTAGACTTGTGTAACTTGTGACAAGTGGTATTCAAATTACAGGTGGTTTTAATATACGAGTCAATGTTATGTCTGTATTCTTATGCTAGTTTTAAGTACAAGCTGAAGTGATCTTTATAAGTAGCTGCTTGGTCTAAACATTAGCAGAATGAATATCATATACATTAACCGCAAATTACAAGATGTTCTTTCACATCGTAAGTTTATGTACTCTGAATATCTCTTTCAACTCAAGACTGCTATACACCTTATTATTAGTGCTTTGGAAATACTCACCCTTTTGGGAGGGGCTGGGGTTTTTCAAATTAGTTTATATTAGAGACAAATTTGCCAATCCATTTATGAGTTGTAGACCTTTTAAGATTCTTATATAAAATGTTTTCCTCGCCGCAGGCCAGTGCTAGTATTTTTAATACTTTTTTGATGAAAATAATTATGCTTCTTTAAGTTTTACTGATTGAAGATGTGAAAATTGGACCAGGTAGCACCAGAATTAATAGTATCAATTTAAATCAACCAATAATATTCTTTTAGAACTTTAGTAGTTTTTCTTTCAATTGCTAAAAGTTTATAATATTTTTAAATGAAATCTTGCCAAGATCAGAAATAGCTGATTCATCATTTTTGTATCTGGAACTAATGTTTTATTTAAACTACTGGTATTTTGCAATTGTAAATTTAAAGTGCAGAATTTATGACTATTTTGTTTAAAATAGCATGGCCTAATATAAAACAGAAATTGTATTCTTTTAGACACATGCATTTTAAGAATATCACTTGTACTATTACAATATTTTAGTTGACAGGGTTTGTACAAGAGGTACAATATGCTTGCTCTTTCAAGAACACCTGATACCACTTCACCATTTATTTGGGAAGTGTATGTAGCTGTATATGTATTGTATACTATTGTATTAAATGACAACCAGCAAGAAATAGAATGTATGTTGTATTAATAGCATTGCTTGTAAGGGTTGTCTAAGAGTAGAATTAATCTGCAAACAGCTCAACGTAGAATCAGAAATAATGACTGTAACAGACCTATATCTTCACTGAAGGTGGTTGTAATAGAAACCCTCTCTCTATCTAAGATCAGTTGTATTTATCTTTCTAAAACTCCATGCTATGTTACCATACATGATGCACCCAAATATATATGTAGGTTTTAAAAACTGTTGAATTTCACAAATATGGAGTACTGGTTATGTTTAGAAAATATGATGGTTCTGTTATTTTTACTGGATTTTAATTCAATGGTACAATACAGTTTCAATGTAAATCTAAGAACAGGGGTATGTTCCTCATCCTATGCTTTTTATACTAATTGGTATTGAACTGTATGATTGAAATACAAAATTTTGGCAGCTTTGTATACCTCCATACCTTCTTTATAGAGGTCATTTCTTTGCTGCATCACACCGGTACCTATTGACTTTGGATAGACTGGAATAAAGAGAAAAAGTTTCTAATTCAAGGGCTCAAGGATTCGACACACAGCACACGTGAGGATCGAACATACAATTGTCCAGTTACATATCTTCTTTGTTTTTCTCCCTGCTTTAGTAAGAGTTGGCATATAATGAAATACAGCGATGAAATGTCTTATTCAAGGCCACAAGGATTTGACACACAATAAATGGTGTGTTTACAGATCTTGCTTGCTAACCATTGTTGTTTTCCTCCATGTTGTAATAAAATTTAGTATATACTACATCATGCATGACACTTGTCAATAAATTTAGTTAAACGGAATGACAATTCATTCAATTGTATAACATTGCTTCAGAGCTGCCAAACATACTGGAAATCACTTCACTGTTAAAGGTACAGATGTAGCCATGTATTCAATGTTAATACTACTGCAGCCTGATCTTTATTTATCTTCAATCCCTTGTATATATCAAATTATCGTAATTGTCAACAAATAGATAAAGAAACCACATGATACTCCCTAAAATAAATTCAACTCTTCAAGGTTATCTGGTAACTAAGGTCACACAGAGTTAGCTCCCATGGGGAGATATGCTGTCTTTGTAGTGGGACAAATATCTCAATCATGCTAAAGAGATAATAGTGATTTGTTTCCATATATTTGTCACAAAATGTCTACTGTTGATAAACAATTATGGCAATATATCCACTAATCACTTATATCGCAGTAGGTCGTGTTTCTTGCTCTGATAAAACGCGGTTATTATTTACGATAATCACTTGTGAACAATTTCAAAGAATCATATATGGTAGAGAGAGAGATGAGGTTTGATGTCCCCTCAACACAAACTAAGTGTACAATTTTATTTCAATAATTCGCTTATGTGTATGGGTCTTAGCAGTGGGAGGCAACCCTACTCCTTATCATGTAGATGCTTGGGATCGAAACCATGCTACTTGACTCAGTGACACTCATTATGATCTAAAGTGCATGCATTAGACCACTCGATCACCCATAATCATATCCATGTATCTTATGACATATATTATTAAAATATCAAATATGTGTGTGGAAAAGTGATTTTAGGGATTACTCTTTAAATATGCGTTAATTGGTTTAATTATTTACATGTACGGTCTATTGTTTTTTAGAATTTTTATAAAACAAAATTTGTCTTTTCAGAGAGGAATGATCCAAGTAGATGGAGAAAAGTTTTTCATCGGACCAATGAAAAGGAAGCCATCTTTAGCTAGTGATAATAAATATAATATAGACAATATTTTAAATCTCCAACATATCATTTATAAATTTCCTGATCAAAATCATACACATACCTCTTATTGTCATTTAAAAGGTGGGTCAAAATTTGGTTTACATTTTATTGATATTGATGCTAAAGCAGGGATGCTGTTTCAGCCAGATATACTGGACATGTCCTATGTGGATTATTAACCATCCTACCGGATATATGCCCAATCAGACATCAAGATTGGTGAATCATATTTAACATTCATAAAAAATATGAATAGACTGGATTAATTATGTCATTAAGTGATTAACCTCAATGTGTCCATCTTATTTCCATCTATCTGATTGGGCGTAAGATTACCAAACAGACTACCAAGAAAATTACTGGATGACCCATCTAAAGTTAAGAATACCCCTGATCACTTTGATCATATATCAAAAAGTGAATAGTTCACATCACACTTTTAGTGCCTTGAATAATAACATAGATTTTGAATATACCAACAGTTCCTGAGTCTTAAACTTACTTCTATTTAGGGCTCTGAGTAGGAAGAATCCATTTTGTTTTCTGTGTCTCTTATAATTTCCCGATCGTGCAAGTCATCATCATCAGTTTAGATATTTCTGCCAGTATTGACCAAAACTGAGTGACTTATACATCGACTGTGTTTGTATCTACGTCTACGTGCAAACTAAATAATGATATACTATGCATTATTCTTGTATTTGTTTTCTTTTATTTCAGAAAATTTTAAACATCAAAGATTAAAGCGATATGTGCAAGATTTTCATAGTGTGAGTGATCATATTAATTCCATAGTACATTCTCGTCATAAGAGATCAGACTCTTTAAAGAGATTTGTTGAAACTTTAGTTGTAGCTGATAAATCTATGAAGGATTACCATGGAGATGATTTACAACATTATGTGTTAACATTGATGGCCATGGTAGGTATTGTTTGTTTTTCTACAGTTTTTGTGTGCGGTCTTCTGATGTGACTTTTCAGTAAAATGTGACCAGTATCTATGACACGTGGCCAAACTCATCACACATCCCGTATTTAGCTTCTGAATTTTCTGGGTACATTGGATAATCTGCATTGGATAACAGAATAATCTGCAAAGCTTTTAAAATTGTCATTCTTTGCAAAATGTTCAAGACGTTAAAAGCTAGAGGTATCATTTCTAGTTGACTAGAGCAGAGGTGTGCAGAAGTCTGATGATGACCAGGGCGACCTCATTGATAGTAAGCCCCCAAGACTTGAGTATACACCACAGTACTGAGAGATGTGAGAAACAAAGACATTTTCAATATGTAAAAACAGATCATATAAACTTTTCATTCAAATTGAGAGAGAGAGAGAGAGAGAGAGAGAGAGAGAGAGACTTGACACAAACTAGGTCAATTCGGGACTAACATATGGTTTAATTTTATTTCAATAATTCGCTTGCGCATAGGGGTCTTTAGCAGTGGGAGGAAACTGGAGAAAACCCACGAGGTAAAATTAGGTTGGACACCTTGTCCAACAATGTTAATTGCAATAATATTAGATTGTAAAAAAATGATTTTAATTTCACTCTTTGATTGGGTGCCCCCTCTACACCCCACCCCCCTCTACACGTCACTGAACTATAGTTGCATATATCAGAAAAACAATATAACAGTAAGGTTATACAGCACTCTGCATGTTTCTCTATTACTATATCTTTTCATGAAGGCAGTTGTTTCTAATTTGAGTAGTTAGCAAAAACTAATGTGCAGCTGACATGTAAAGGCGAGAAACATATTGCTGAAATATTGTCAGACATATTGATATAGATGGGAGCGTGTAGAAAAAAAGATGTAGGGGTGTCGTATTGTAATTTACACATGCCATAACCTTATCATATTGTTCACTTTGTTTATCAAAGTACATCCGTCTGAACAATTCATCGCAGCCGTCACATGGAAAAAATGAACAACAAAGACATCCAACAGGCAAAAAATTGAATAAACATTTCTACCATTTCTATTCCGTCTGCTCAAAAAATGCAGAAGAACATGGGGAAGTGTTGTAAACAATACACTTGTTGTCAGAATGATATCAACATCTTTTGACCTTTTTGTCCACATTTTTCGCTGTTGTGTTGATCTATGTTCATAGATTGCTAATCGCGGACAAAAGTTGTATTTCTTGAAAATAGTTGTATCCCTAAAATGGAATAAAATGAAATAAATTTGAGAATCATGGCCGTTTTATTAGCTAGGTAATCAGAAGAAAACTCACACTGTTTATGCTGATATCGTTGAATTACATAACAAAACTCTTTGCCAAGCCCAAAGAAGAGGATCTAATGTTTCTTTAATAAACTGGAGTTCACCATGTTTGTTTTCTTATTGCATGAACTGGGGAGAATTTTGTATTTATGTTTAAAATTCACATTACATTTGGGTGGCCGATGGATAATTTTCATTTTCTATATCAACTCTTAAAGGTCAAAGATTAGTTCAGGTACATTATACTTATATCTATTACTGTATTTGCGAGAAAAAAAGCTTTAGTGGACAAATTCTTTTCATAAGACTAATTACTTCATTCAAGTTCAATGCATTAACATTGAAGGAAAATTAAATTCTTGAGTCCTCATGAGTTTGGGAAATAAGGAATGGATTCATTTGTTCGTGGGAGACAGTGCTGGATTTAGGCATGAGCTAAAAAAAGCAACAACTTAGGTTTACAAAACAATTATTCTTGTTCTCAGACAAATTTGATGCTGGAGGACATTTTTTGTTTTGAGTTTAGTCAAAATCTGGGTATTTTTTTCATTTTTATTATATATTTGATATTTATTTAACTCGTAATAAAAAAAAAGCCCAAAATAGATAAGATTTTGAAATAACGGCTAAATAATTCTGTGACTTCATCTAGATTAACTCCTGGGAAAATGTTTTCAGTTCCGCCAGTTTTTCTTTTGGCGACCATTATGTGGTCTGATGTTCAGTTCCACTTTTAAAGAAATGTATTATCAAGTTACTTGCCCTGAATGTGCAGAAATTATTAACTTGGTTTATATTTTTATATTTATAAAGATAAAAGCGTGTGACACTGCCCATTTTGGATGATGCAGCGTTACCTGAGAACCAGAATATTTTTTTGGTGTGGCCTTAGTGCTTGATAATCATGTTAGGACCTCAAAAAATTTAAAATATTTGGAGGAGAGGGGGCTTTTAAAATTTCTTGTGGCTTTCAACGTGTAATGTAGTGTTTAAAATGGTTTGTGTAGAAAATCGTCATATGTAGTTTTCAAATGGCTTTATATGTTGTGATACACACCTTTGTGTAACTTTTTTAACAAGGAGCTTCTGAGCTTGAGATAACTTAGCCCTCATCAAGTCCTGAATTAGGAGAGCAAGAGAGATGGTTGGAGTCAAGGTCACTAACCAGGAGGCCTGGGGTTGGATCCCAGTATTGGCTGGATTTTCAGATGGTTTCCCCTTGTCAGTGGTGCAGGACAGAGGGCCTGGCAAAATTTCCCTCATAGCACACTGTATGTTGTATGCACGTCTTCATTAGCCAAATGGTGCTCAAAAGTAGGAGTTAAACCCCATTTCATTCATTGTATATAGAGAGATTTTGTCCTAAAACTTGCAAGGCCAGAATAATTTGTTCATATGGATAGTAGTGCGTATCCAGAGATGTAGTTTGTGACATTTATAGCAACTACAGTGCAGAAGAGTTGACCAATTAAATGTACAAAGTTATACAACAGGCGTGGATCCAGGTGGACCTGCTCAGCTCAGCTACATAATTTTTTTGGTAAAACAACCTTTTTTTATGAGAAAAGTGTCATAATTGTGCTTTATCCTTTATCATCAGATGGTGCGACAGGATGGGCACTCAAAGCGCGAGATAATGATATAGACATATGTGATATCACAATTAATGCTTTGCATCAATGAAATTGAATCTCAGTGTCATCAAATTAATTCATAATGAAAATTGACGTCAAACAGGATGTTGGATTTCTCTATTTAAAAAGATCAATGTGTATTATGTATATATGCCAAAATGACGATAGAGACCATATATTTCTCAAAAAATTTCAAGCCGAGGGGGGGGGGGGATACATTTTCTCAGGAACCTGGCACCTGGCAAACCCCCTCCTGCAAAAATTGCTGGATCTGCCCCTGTACAACCTAGCAAATATAGTGTAATTTTGGAAAGTTGAAAGATAATAATAGCCCGTTCAGGTGCTTAAGTTGAACTGGTTTAAAAACCCCGGGGATCGTTAAACCAGTTTAACTTAAGCGTCTGAACGCAAATGTGGGGCAAATAAACCAGTTTAAAAACCCCTGCTCGCAACCTGTCTTCGAGAAGGCTTTTTATTTTAAACTGGTTCATCTTAGCCATCTGAACGGGTTGGCTTAAAAACCCCAGCTCCAGCTTGCTTCGAGCATGTGCAGTACGCAGTTAGTTACATTCCTGTGAAAATATTGGGGTCAGACAGTGCCAATGTTATCGAAAGCGTGCGAGAACCGAATAAAGAATATGAAGCTACCCATGCGTAGTTAACTCTAACCTCCGACCAAAGAGGTCAGAATAGTTGAACGCAACACGATGCTGTCTTAAAAACCCCAGCGATTATGAACTGGTTTAAAAATAAGCGTCTGAACGGGCTATTAGATAGAAATCTTTGCACTTTTGAGGCCAAATTATAAGATAAAAAATTTCAATGTGATGAAATAAAATTATAAACACATTGCTGGTCTGGTTTCAGTTTGAGATCTCCATAATGTTGTTGCAGAAACGTGTATTAAAAATTGATAAACTTGGCTGCTGAGATAGCTACAGTTCATCTGATACATGCAAATAAGAATTTCCATGCAATTTTGTTGAATTAAGGTTGACATGAAGTAATGCTGAATTCTAAAACGATGAAAGATAGTTTCTCATTAGCTTGCATACCTCACATGGCAACCGGCCAATTCCATGCACTTTTGCACCTGATATGATATGTCAATTTCTATAAGAGTTAAATTATCATGTCTGACAGTTTCATATTATTTTGGTTGGCTGTGAAAAACTTTCAGTATTTCTTCATCATACAGACTTCTGGTGAATAGAATCTTTAATCTTGGCAGTGGTTGGTCTGTTTTTGTCTGTGGATGATGAGAATCAGAAATTCTGCTTTCAAGACAAATTTTGATACAGATAACTTGGTATAAACAGAAATCTTGTATATGTGGGTAACAGAGATGTTTCAAAATTCTTTGACCATGGTCAGATTAAAGATGCATTATGGGAGATTAGATAAAGAGCTGGCAGTTCTCACTATAATAGTTAAAAACTAGATAATGTAAAGGGAATTTGCTGAAAATTTCAGTCAAATTGATCCACTCTGAACCAAGATTTTAGCGATTGAATTTTCAGCCTAGTCTTGATCATCATTAATAAAGTCAGTACGATAAAAACATAGCCTTGATTTACCATTTCATGATTAAATCATGAATGGAAGTCGATCAGCAAATCGGAACCTAATCCAATAAACAACATTGTTGGCTAGCGATGACATTGAGAGTTGATTAATTAATGTCTAATTAATAATTTAGATAACGTTTCAGGCCTAAAGAAAGAGGGGGGGTTGGATGGCTGAATGGTTAGCATGTGCGCGCTGTATCATAAAGCCTGTCATTGAGTCATCTGGCGTGGTTTCAAATCCCCGGTTGTACGTGACAAGGAGTAGGGTCGCCTGTCCAACCTCGTGATTTTTCTCCGGGTCCCCCAGTTTCCTCCCACTGCTAAAGACCCCTATGCGCAAGCGAATTATTAAAATAAAATTAAACCATATGTTAGTCCCGAAATGACCTAGTTTGTGTCGAGTGGACGTTAAACCCCATTTCTCTCTCTCTCCCTAAAGAAAGACCTGCAATTGGCAGATTTACGTCTTGCATAATGTTTGTTTAATTG